GGGGGTGGGGTGGGGTGGGGACATAAACATGAAGACTGCAGCAGAGCCAGAGTTCCTGCCTCTCTGTTTTCCTCCAGCCTTCCGTCGGAAATCCCCATGCCTCTTTCCCAATGTTCCCCTAAATGTATTTTTATTTTTATTTATTTTTTTTAAAGATTTTATTTGTTTATTTGAGAGAGAATGAGATAGAGAGCATGAGAGGGGGGAGGGTCAGAGGGAGAAGCAGGCTCTGTGCCGAGCAGAGAGCCCGATGCGGGACCCGATCCCGGGACTCCAGGATCATGACCTGAGCTGAAGGCAGTCGCTTAACCAACTGAGCCACCCAGGCGTCCCATGTTCCCCTAAATTTAAAGGATGACTGTGAGTGTGTGTTACTGCTGGTGAGCCCTATGTTGAAATAGAAAAACATATTGCTCCTGTGTAATATACGTGAACTAAGGCCCCAAGCCCATGCAGTGGTGGTAGAACAGCATAGAGAACATCCAACCCTATACTTTTCTTCCTCTGGAGTAACATTGTAACACAGTTGTTCAGAACAAGAACCCTGAGGCTGGATAACTTACACCCTGATTCTAACATTTCCTAGCTGAACGATTCGTTCTTTGCGTGCTCCAGGTAATGGTGTCAACCTCCTAAGTCTCTTGTAAGATCAAATGAGTAGTTACATATTAAGCGATTAGAATGTGCATGACACACAGTGCTCAATAAATCCTAGCTATTAATACAGCTTTAGTTTCCTTCTTGATTTCATCACCGTACAAATGGGTCTCTTTAATTTTAGCAAAAACGTAGGAGACTATTATACATTATCATGTCTTTCAGTGCTATTTTAGACAGGTTTTCCTCTGTTTAATTGCTGAAAACATAAAGATGTTACATATTAAGGAATGGACCAAATTCCAAATGAGGAAAAAAAGGCAGTCTCAAAATGTTTTTAGAACCCATTTTCTATAATTGCTGTGCAAGCATGTGTTTTTTGGAAAAACCCTTTAATTCCTGGCCTTTACATGGATGAACAAGAATAGCAACCTCTTTTGGACTAGTTGAGGCTGGGAAGGAAAAGAATTAAGATGTGGACAGGACATGCTTTGAACACATTTATCTATGTGGAGAACCATCTGAAGAGCCTACTTTGAGAACAAAGATGAAAATGTGAGATTTATGGGGCACTTGGGTGGCTCGGTCGTTAAGCGTCTGCCTTCGGCTCAGGTCGTGATCCCAGGGTCCTGGGATCGAGCCCCACATCGGGCTCCTTCCTCAGCGGGAAGCCTGCTTCTCCCTCTCCCACTCCCCCTGCTTGTGTTCCCTCTCTCGCTGTCTCTCTCTGTCAAATAAATAAATAAAATCTTAAAAAAAAAAAAAAAAGAAAGAAAATTTGAGATTTAGTTGTGGAGCCCCAAACTGCTTCCCTGAGGAGATTCTTGGATTTGTGCATGCAGGTGGGGCAGGATGATGGGGGAGGAGGAAGCAGGGGGAGTTGGTGATGGAAATTTATACTCACAAGAAAGAGACTGGACTTATATTAGTTCTCCAACTTTCTCTACCCAAGTGAGTCCTATCTTTGTTTTATTGGAGTCAGAAAGTTAATAAAACTTAATGGAATATGAAAAGATGATTAAATATTTATTGAAAATTTAAATGTGATCCTTGAAGGTACTTGTCTTAGAAGTGCCTTACAGGCAGTTTACCTTTATTCAAGGAGAAATCTTTTTTCAGAGCTTTGGGTTTGACACCTCACTTGAGTAATATTCAAATAAAAGTAAAATAGAAAACGCCTCTTAGGAAAGGATGGCCTGGTTTTCAGCTTTTCTCCAATATTAATTTAGAGGGCTCATTTTAACATTGCCCACAGGATAAAGTCTAAATTTCTCAGCTCCTCAAGCTGACCTCAGTGCTTTAAAAGTGTCTCCTTCTGCCTCAGCTCTGTGGTGTCTCTACCCTTACTTCTTGTCTGAAGTCAGTGAGTCTATAAAGGCACACCTATTCCCCTGAGTCTTTGCTGCTTTTTTTATTTGGTTTTATTTTTGTTGAAATTTTGTACATCCTTCAAAGATCGGCCATCTCAGATGATTTCCTCTGATCTCTTCAGATCTGGAATCATAGTTGCCTCTTTGTCCTCTCAATATTTTGTTTGTTCTTCATTCATTGCCCTTCCTTAATTCTGTCTACTGTTTTAGCTAATTATCTGCATCCTTTTAACCATAATAAACACTTAGCTCTTTGTGGGGAGGAGAGTAAAATATTCCTCAGTCGCATTTGTATAACCATATAGTATCATATATATGCCAGAACTCAACAAATATCTATGGAATGAATGAAAAATTAAGACCCACTCAAAAAAGCTCTCAGAATCTTAGAGCATACTTTCCCTCATTTCCCTTGCATGATGTCCCTTTACCTCATTGACACTTGGACTTCTACTTTTGTGTCTATGTATTTTTTCTATGACAGTCTGATTATGGATACTTTTTGCTTGCAACAACCTTATTCAGTATCCTTCAAGATCTGACTCATGCCATCAGCATCATTTGCTGCCCTCACATTTTGTTACAGACATACTGAATTGTGTCCCGGAAATGGTTTTTCTACATGGAATGCTTTGTTCTTCCCTTTCCCCTCTTCTCCATCTTCAACTGGCTGACTCTTCCCTCCCAGATTCAGGATAAGAGGTTACTTCTTTCTATAAATTGTCCCTAGCTCCCCACACCATCTCCAGCCCCAGACTGACTTAAGCCTTTCTCCCTTATGATCTAGTGTAATAAAGATAGAAAAGATTTGGGTCAAAACCTGATTCTGCTACTTATTGAGCAGTGATTTTAGACCAGCTCCTCTCAAACTTTATCATGCATCAGAATCACCAGGAGAGCTTGTTAAATCAAAGGGGTGTTTTAGGGGCACCTGGGTGGCTCGGATGATTAAGCGTCTGCCTTCGGCTCAGGTCACGATCTCCAGGTCCTCCAGGTCCTGGGATCAGGCCCCATGTCGGGCTCCTGGCTCAGCAGGGAGTCTGCTTCTCCCTCTCCCTCCGCCTCTTCCCACTGCTCATGCTATCTCTCAGTCTCTCTCTCTCAAATGAATAAATAAAATCTTTATAAAAAGGGGGGGCGGTGTTTTAAGAATTAATTGAGATAATATATGTAAAGTGTTTGACATGAATTAGTGCTCAATCATCACCAGTTACTATTGTTTTTACATTATCGTTGCTTTCATCACACTGTTTTAAATTGCAGACCGAATAGACCATTTGTCGAGTAAACTAGGAAACTCATAATAAACAGTGACTCCGCCGGTTTATTATTGTTGTATCACAGGCGCCCTATAAAGTACATTGGTTAGCACTAAATGAACATATAATAAAATACCCTAAAAATAAAAGCATTCAATAAATATTTAATGAAGTGAATTTGGCTGCTTCTTTGCAGGTAGTTCCTACCCAGACTGTTCCAGGATTTCCTGTAGGAAACCCCTGTATTTTGGGGTTTTCTTGGGACTGCTTTTGTTGATTGGTTCCCAAACCACCTTTGGTTATGGCAAATCAGTCCTCACAGCCTTTGTTTCTAAGATTATACAAGCAACATGGAGAACATCTTCCTGTAAAGAAGTAGAAATAGATAAGCACACGGGCCATTCATTTGGCTCTGCAGTCTGAATTTCATACTGAATGAAAGCAGTTGCAGCAATGTATTCCCCTGCCTTCTGTGCCTGAACATATGCCTGCATTTAACACTGGATATGGGTTAGAAACTAACATGGGGAAAATGTAATTTGGGGTTCTTTGCAAATTCATGAAGCCTCCTTTTTTGGGAAGCCTTTCCTGCTTTTACATTCAGCCTATACCCCCATCCTCCTCTTTGACCTCAGAACCTCATATTTTATGAATACATTCATTATGAATATGTTTCGTTAGTTCAGCAAATATTTTTTTCCTATATCTGCCATGTGCCAAATACTATTCTGATGACGGTGATATCACACTAAGACAAAGCCCCTGCTTCACAGAACCGAAAGCGTGGCATTTACCAACTGGTACGATAATTGTTTCTCTGTCTCCCACGGTATATTGTGCACTTCCTGATGGTGGGTGCACTATTTAATTGATCTTTGGGTATCCAGTTCAATAGCTGGTATGTGGTAGGTATTCATACATATGGATTAGTTTTTATACAGAGGGACTCTCCTTAATATATTGGTGCTGAGAAATGGAACAGAGTACTAGAGATCATGTATTGCTGGTCCATGAAAGGATCTGGCGCTAGATATGTTTTTTTTTTTCTTTCTTTTTTTTTTTTTTTTACTTACAAAGTGTTGTTTGTCTGAATTTCAATTAGGGCCAACCAATACATAACAATCCAGATTTCTAGCTTCTCTAGAAAAAACCCACGTTTCTGTATTGCACCAATCAGCTGCAGCTCACTCCCACTCAGCCTGCTCCTTAGATGGAGCCTGTCCTCTTCAGTTCACTGTAACAATTTCCTACTGTATTACATGTGTGTATATGGATATGGGTATTGTATTTGTTTGCTCAGATGTGTGGTGAAGAAAGAGCAAAATTCTTCAGATTCTAAGTAAATCCACTGAAAGTTTGTATTTACAAGCTTATGAAAACCTGCCTTCAACTGGAAATACCTTATTCCTTTTTTTTCTTCTTTAGAGAGGAATGCTAACAAGGATTTGCTTTTGTTTGGAATATGTAATAATATTGGGTCATCAGTCTAAATTTTATCCAAGGTGTTCTCTGCAGTTTCATAGTGGGTCTCCTGTCTTCCTCAAATTATTTAGACAATTGCCAGTTACTCTTCTACTGAGAAGTGTATCCCAGTCCAAAGTAAAAATACATAAAAATCTGTCTGGTTTGGAGGTTTTTTTCCTCCTTTATGATTATTGAACTAACACAATTTATTTGGTTTGGTTTTGTTATATGACATTAGACACTTTTAAAATCATAAAATTGAGTTAAAATGATAGTTTACCAAACTAAATATGTTTATGCTTTGTTTCAGCTATCCTTAAAAAGAAGAGGAAGCAAAGATTTGCCAAAATCTGAAAAAAAGACTCAACAGACTCCCACAGAGGTATGTGGAAATAAAATTTCAACTAGTACATCAAACACTCTAAATGTATATAATAATAAGCTACATCTGTAAATGGACATAGTAGCCAGATGCACTCATGTAAAAAAAGAGTTTAATTATGCATGTTCGTTCTGTAGTTGTAGATACAGGCAGTATAAAGCATTCAGCATCTTTTTTTTTTTTAAAGATTTTATTTATTTATTTGACAGAGACACAGTGAGAGAGGGAACACAAGTAGGGGGAGTGGGAGAGGGAGAAGCAGGCTTCCGGCAGAGCAGGGAGCCCGATGTAGGGCTTGATCCCAGGACCCCAGGATCATGACCTGAGCCAAAGGCAGACACTCAACCATCTGAGCCACCCAGGTGCCCCTAATTCAGTATCTTTGTTTATGAAGCTAACACTAACACCCCTATTATTGCTTTTATGGTGTAAGCACACGGCAAAATGCCATTAGTACCTTATGTGTTGCTGTGTTTGACAACTGTATGCATAGAGCTAATCTTCTTCACTCATAATTAATAAGGTCAATAGAATGGCTGTTCCTATAGCATCAGGAGTGAGTAGAGAAAGGAATGCTATGGTGAGGGAAGCAAGAGGCTTGTGATGAGAAGGCCCTAGAAGAAGTAATTCTCTATGCCAGTGATTGGGGAAGCAAAAGCAAGGAAACGAATACAAATAAAACTTAAAGGATGTACTGAGGGATGCCTGGCTTGCTCAGTCAGTGGAGCGTGTGACTCTTGATCTCGGGGTTGTGGATTTGAACCCCAAATTGGGTGTAGAGATTCCTTAAAAATAAAATCTTAAAAAAAAAAGAAAAAGATATATTCAACCTGGGCTTGTTACGAACTTCAGAAACACAGCCCCAGTAAAGACTAGCTCTGCTATCAGGATGAGCAGAAGGTGCTAATGGATGTAATGAAGGAGAATTTAAAGCAGAAGAGGAAATATTTGGGGGCAGAAGTGACATTATGGCTCTCCAAGAACACTTGGCTAGTTATTGACTTTTGCATGCATCATTTGGAATCTCATACTATAGCATACCTTTTTTTATTCTTACAAGTTGTTTTCTCATTAGATAATAATTTTAACTAAAGTAATATTGAAATATCCAAAATTTGGAAAAGTTGGTGTCAATTTTTTTAAAAACACAACATATTAAATGGGTTTTTTTTGAAGATTTATTTATTCATTTTAGAGAGAGAGCATACAAGTGGGGGGAGGGGCAGAGAGCGAGAATCTCAAGCAGACTCCCTGCTGAGTGCAGAGAGCAACAGGGCTCCATCCCACCACCCAGGAGATCATGACAGAGCTGAAACCAAGAGTCGGATGCCTCAACCGACTGAGCCACCCAAGCACCCCACAAAACACAACATCTTGACTGTTGATCTTCCCTTTTCCTCTCTCTTTCTGTTCTGTTCTTGGTTAACTTTTCTCCTGGTACTGGCACAAGGACATCGAGAAGCGTCAGCAGTTCAAAAATCCCAGAGAGTCTCAGAGCAAGCCATTATTCCATTTTTTATCTTTCTCAACGTTCTCTTACCAAGTTCAAAGACACTCTGTCACTACAGCTTTCTCACTCTGCCTTTGCCATAACTTTCGCCATCTTCTGTACATATTTTGCTGTGGGTCATCTCACATGTTGCCATCAGTTATCTTCTCCACCTTATTGATGGAGAAGGAGCTATATGCTCACTTTTCTAAAATCCTAAGTCAGCTTTAATCAGCAGTTTTTTTCTTTTAAAACTCACATTTGGCCTATTCTAAAATTCCCGTGTTAGAGTTTATTTATTTTTGCAACAATAGGCTCTTATCCAGGAATGTTTAGTTTGTTTCTAGCTCTATGACCCTCCCACTCTACGTGCCTGTGGGCTCCTCTCTGCAAGAGACATCCACAGCCTTCATCTGTTTCCTAGTGGGACCTGGGACCTTTCAACAGCCAAGAAACAGTGCAGTCCACCAGTTTTTATTTCATGGCCCAAATGTCTGGGAGATTTATAAGTGTGCTGTTGTGGCCATGGAAGTCCCTGCTAGTGTTTCCAGTTCATTTATTTTCAGAGATTATTACCTGTAGTTTTTCAAAAACCCACCCCAGCGGTTTGACCGGGACTGTCTTGGATGGGAGATCTCAATTATAAAGTAGTCCACAGACGATTTTATTGCTCAGTCAAGGTTGAGGACCATTGATTCTTAGATTACTGCAAGCCTCCCATTCTATTGTTTACATATTCATCTCCCATACTTGGTCAGGGCAGATTGTCATCATGGGTCATGTTATTCAGCTTTGACTTGTCCGTGGTCTAGTGCCTGATAGTGCAACGTGTTCAGTATGCGCTTTTGAATACTCTCGTGTCTCCTTTATCTAGGTTGAGCCAAATGAAACTGCCAGCATGCTGTGATTTTGACCTATGCAAATGGCAGTTCCATATGGTTCCACCTACTGTTATCTGTACGGCTTCGTACTTCATTTTTATTTGCTTTAGCTTCTTTGGTGTATTATTTACACGTTCCTTCAGCAGCACAGTGACTTTATTTACTGCGAAATGGTATCAAACAGCACTTAAGAGCAGTGACATGCCAGCTGTATGGTCTTAGATGACTTATTTATTCTTTCCATGCCTTTGTTTCCTCGTCTGTAAAATGGGATCATAATAGAGAGTTGTTGTATTTATTAAATGAGTTTAATGCATGCAATTCATCAGGAGTGCAATTTAGCATCTAGTAGTGGCTAAATCAAAGCTGGGCTCAGCTTACTTCTTTTGGCCTCTTATCATCTTTATGTTCCCCTTCATCACATGTCATTCGTATCTTCTTTTTTTTTTTTTTTAAAGATTTTACTTATTTATTTGAGACAGAGAGAATGAGAGAGAGAGAGCACATGAGAGGGGGTAGGGTCAGAGGCAGAAGCAGGCTCCCTGCCGAGCAGGGAGCCCGATGCGGGACTCGATCCAGGGACTCCAGGATCATGACCTGAGCTGAAAGCAGTCGCTTAACCAACTGAGCCACCCAGGCGCCCTCATTCGTATCTTCTTGAGTGAGTCTTTAACATACACAAAAATAAGAGACAACTTGCTTCACATCTGGAAGCACTGTAATGTTTCTTGCCTAGCATCCACTGTGGAAAATAGGAGCAAGCATGTACTGCTCAGTCATTGTCAACCAGGCACTTTCCATACCATCTCGATTTAACGTGTTCAGTGTTTATAGTCAGTATTTCCATGCTCAGTTGCAAATGCAGCTATAATCCTTAGGTTTCAGGCTGTACATGCAGGGCACATTGCCTACGGGGTTCTTAAGTTCCTGGCGTTGTAGAAACTATCACACTTTGTATATTGAAAAGATTTCTTTTTAAACAAATACAAAATAATTACTATGGTGCCCATCATTCTCCTTCCCTCATAGTGACTTTCTTACATGCAGTATATGTCCAAGTCTTAAAATAAGGTTTATGTTTTCATTCCTTTAAGGCAGGAGAGTTTACATATACACAAGTCAAGTATATGTAAACTTGTGTTATGTTTGCTTCACATAGCCTAGTGAGGTATGATTCTGCTCCAGTCTGTGACTTAGACCACATCCAGTGCTATTTTGGTTAGATTCAGACTGCAGCATTTTACTATTTTTTTTTACGAGCAAATAAAGGCCTAGCCTTGCAATCAAGGAGTTCTACCATACATGTAGCCCAACTTAAATTCCCAGTCTCCCCTACTTTTACTTCCTAACAAAGCCTAGTTTATGTAAAAGCATATTGGACTTGCTTATTGCTGGTCACCTTTCTATTCAAACAATGTTTCTAATTCCTGCATGATATTTGACTCTCCTGCCCCCACCACAACTTTAACCAGTTCTTATGTGTCTCTCTTTCTTTTCTTCTTCTCTTCAGTTGCTTTCAAAACCACTGCCATGGCATCAACCATCACCTGTATTTTTTTTGTTCAACCATCACCTCTATATATCTCATTCTCGTGTCCTCCCTTTTGGACCTGAACTCTCTACAGAGTCAGAGGTGTAGTCTTTGTAATCGTGGGCCTAAGATTCCACCTGCCTGTTGATAGATGTTTCCACTAGATATCCCCTCCACTGACACACGTCAAAGACAGTATTTTAATACACTTAGACTCATCTTCTTTGTTCATTCTCTATCCCTGTCATTAGCAGCCCCATCCATCAAGACGCCTAAGCTGGAAACATCAGGATTATCTTTGAGTCTTCTGCTGATGTGTTGTTTCGTTAGTTTGAGGGCCCAGCACATAGTCTCTTGTAGAGCAGCTTCTCTCTTCCCTTGTGAAATGGATTTTCATGCCAAATCTTTCTGTGACATACATTCTCCTCCTTCTCTCTCACTGTGCTCCTGGGAATTCTCTCATCTCTTCTCTCTGCTTCTGTCCTTTCTTTCTTTCTTTTTTTTTTTTTAAATGCTGCTCACTCTCACACTGCCATGGCTCATTAGAGTCTGGATCTTTTTTTTTTTTTTTTAAAGATTTTATTTATTTATTTGACAGAGAGACACAGCGAGAGAGGGAACACAAGCAGGGGGAGTGGGAGAGGGAGAAGCAGGCTTCCCGCAGAGCAGGGAGCCCAATGTGGGACTCGATCCCAGGACCCTGGGATCATGACCTGAGCTGAAGGCAGTCGCTTAACCAACTGAGCCACCCAGGCGCCCTGCTTCTGTCCTTTCTTCTAAACCCCTTCTAGAGGAAAGTATACTAGCCAACTCATCCAATTTCTTTTATTTTACCCCATAGTCCTACTTTCCTTCTCTTCTGCTACTTTTCTAGAAGCAACACGTACAGTAGAAAGAATAAATTTTGGGGGACGCCTGGGTGGCTCAGTCGGTTAAGCGTCTGCCTTCGGCTCAGGTCGTGATCCCAGGGTCCTGGGATCGAGTCCCGCATCGGGCTCCTTGCTCCGCGGGGAGCCTACTTCTCCCTCTGCCTCTCTCTCTCTCTGTCTCTCATGAATAAATAAATAAAATCTTAAAAAAAAAAAAAGAAAGAAAGAATAAATTTTGGAATCGGTCTGGATCCGGATGTGCTCTGTCACTTATTAACTTGTGCTCTACCAAGTTAATCAACCTTTCTGAAGCTCATCTGCCTTATCTATAAAGTAGACCTAGATCACCTTCCTTACAGGGCTCATGTCAGGGTATAATGATATAAAGAATATGATGGTCAGGCTCTGTGCACTCAGCAGCTCTCAACCCCAGCTCTCAATTCCATACTAATTCTCATTAGCAGAAAGGAGGACAGGAGACCTGTGCCCTGCTCTTCATCTCTTCCATCTCAAAGGCTCTGGGCCATATTTAATGAGCATCTCTGGAAGAAGCTCCTTATTTTCACTACCAGTGGTTGCTGCTACTTTACTACAATTCATCTCAAACATAGCTGACTCATTGCTGAACAAGGAAGGCATTTTTATTTCCATTTAAAAAATGAGGAGGGGCGCCTGGGTGGCTCAGTCGGTTAAGCGTTTGCCTTCAGCTCAGGTCATGATTTCAGGCTGCTGGGATCAGGCCCCCCATACGGCTCCCTGCTCAGCAGGGAGTCTGCTTCTCCCTCTGCCTCTGTCCCCCTATCCCCCATCCCCCTCCCCCTGCTCATGTGCTCTCTCTCTCTCTCAGATAAATAAATAAAATCTTTTACAAAAATATATTTAAAAATGAGGAAACCAAAATCCACAGAAGTTACACCATTGACCCAAAGTACATACTTAAAAGAGAATTTGGGGGAAATTGTCCTCAGGAAATGTGTCCTTGGGCATAAAAATGTACTTTGATATTAGTTAGCTCTCAGCAAATTGATTTCCAGTTTTTGTTTGTTTGTACTTTTCAGCTTAGTCAATGATTAGTGTTTGCAGGGTGTCCTAAGAATTGTGAGAAGAGCTTCTATAGGATCTACTCCGTCATCCATTTACCAGGCAGAACCAACTTTATTCATTTTAGACTGATGGGAATGTATCTTTTTTTTAAAAGCAATCCGGATGAAACACCTGCCAGTTTCTCCTTGGATGGGCCATTCCAGTGTTAAATTTTCCTTACTTTAAATAAGGCCTTTAAGTAAGCCATTCTGCCTTGCATACAGATGGAGAAGAGATTGCTTTCTTTGTTCTTTCGGAGCTATCATGAGCCTTAAAGTCAGACAGAACTGAATTCAAATTTCACCTTTGTCTTTTGCCACTTAATAGCTCTCTAACCTTGAAAAAGTTATGGAGTAGCTTTAAACCAGGTATTTTAATATCTATTACTAAGTTTATTCTAAACATTAAATTAGGTCATACGTTTAAAGAGCTTTACAGAAGTTGGCTGAGAGTCGGTGCTCAATAAATGGCAGCGTGTTCCTTCCAGGGAACAGGTTTCACATTTATTATAGTCAGGGGAATTCAAATCATGTAAAAAACAAAACATACAAAAGGAACATTGTTGAAATGACAGCCCCACGGTTGTGCTCAGTTACAACACATAATGGTCTCTGGATAGTGATGACTGTAGTGTTTCTCTTTTTATATTTCTTTCTCTCTTTGTTTCCAGGATGTGATATTGTCTTCATCTTTTATCTGCCAAATAATTTAAACAATTTGTAGAAAATATACAGCATCGACTACTCTCTCTCTAGAGAGTAGTCTCATTGCATTTTAATTACCAGAAAACGCAATTATTTTTGCAGGTGTACTTTTTTGTTTTCTCGATTTACATAAAAATGGTCTCTTATCCTCTTACCCTCTTTTTCCTAAATGAGGAGGACAATGAGGATCTGAAATGCCAGCTGCAGTTCGTGAAGGAAGAAGCTGCTTTGATGAGAAAGAAAATGGCCAAGATTGATAAAGAAAAGGACAGATTCGAACACGAGCTTCAGAAGTACAGATCCTTTTATGGAGATCTGGACAGTCCTTTGCCCAAAGGAGAAGCCGGGGGGCCGCCCAGCACCAGGGAGGCTGAGCTCAAGCTGAGGCTGAGGCTGGTGGAGGAAGAAGCCAACATCCTGGGCAGGAAGATCGTGGAACTGGAGGTGGAGAACAGAGGCCTGAAGGCAGAACTAGACGACCTGAGGGGGGACGACTTCAACGGCTCGGCCAACCCCCTCATGAGGGAGCAGAGCGAATCCCTGTCGGAGCTGCGGCAGCACCTGCAGCTGGTGGAAGACGAGACGGAGCTGCTGCGGCGGAACGTGGCCGACCTGGAGGAGCAGAACAAGCGCATCACTGCGGAGCTCAACAAGTACAAGTACAAGTCCGGCGGCCACGAGAGCGCGCGACACCACGACAGCGCCAAGACCGAGGCCCTGCAGGAGGAGCTGAAGGCGGCACGCCTGCAGATCAACGAGCTCAGCGGCAAGGTCATGCAGCTGCAGTACGAGAACCGCGTGCTTATGTCCAACATGCAGCGCTACGACCTGGCCTCGCACCTGGGCATCCGCGGCAGCCCCCGCGACAGCGACGCCGAGAGCGACGCGGGCAAGAAGGAGAGCGACGACGACTCGCGGCCGCCTCACCGCAAGCGTGAGGGGCCCATCGGCGGCGAGAGCGACTCGGAGGAGGTGCGCAACATCCGCTGCCTGACACCCACCCGCTCCTTCTACGCGGCGCCGGGGCCCTGGCCCAAGAGCTTCTCCGACCGGCAGCAGATGAAGGACATCCGCTCGGAGGCCGAGCGCCTGGGCAAGACCATCGACCGGCTCATCGCCGACACTAGCACCATCATCACCGAGGCGCGCATCTACGTGGCCAACGGGGACCTGTTCGGACTGATGGATGAGGAGGACGACGGCAGCCGCATCCGCGAGCACGAGCTGCTCTACCGCATCAACGCGCAGATGAAAGCCTTCCGCAAGGAGCTGCAGACCTTCATCGACCGCCTCGAGGTGCCCAAGTCCGCGGACGACCGCGGCGCCGAGGAGCCCATATCCGTGAGTCAGGTACAGTTCTGCCTATTGCGAGCCACGGCGATGGCGAGGCTGGTCCGCGGATTCGTGGTCCCTGATGGGGCGTCTCCGCGCACCGACCTCCACGCCCCGCTTTAGGGAAGTCCCCGCTCGCTGGGCTTCGGAGCCCCACAGCGCACCTGTTCTCTCACGCTGTCCTTCTTCAGGCCTCAGGTTTTCGTAACCCACTTAGGAACTCCCTCCCCTCTGTTTTGTTTAAGAAGGAAATTTGCACACACACACCCCCCCTCAGTTTTTGTGTAAAGATTAAAGGATCTTTAAGATATATTATTTATTTGTCAGTATGTTCAGTATTACTTTACGGAGTCTAATGGATCAAGCTGCAAGAAGATCCCAGATGGGAATCTTTAATTATGTATTTGCAGGTTTTAAACCAAGATTGAAATTGAGTTTAAAATTTTTTAAAATGTTTTAAATATCCAGGATTATTGTATAACTACTGACAAATGCACAAACCAGCAGTAAAGAGAGAGGATACTGTGTCTAGGGCCCTCCCAAAAGGAACAAATGGAAGTCATTCCTTTACCACAAGTGGAAGTAACAGAATCATTATTTCTAGAAAAAAAAAAATCACTGCCAGCTCTCTAGTGGAGACTCTCATGACTGGGGAAGGAGTGTTTAACTTTAACGCAACACTGATTCAGAGAACTAGTGATAACTATTCCCGAACAGGGAAAACCAGCATTTTTCCTTCATCCTAATTTGTAGAGGCACAACTGATGAATTGGACTGAGCTGCTCTAGCCAGGTATGGTGGCCAAAGACCCATGCATTTTGTCAGAATTAACCACATAAGAGAGAATTTGTAAAACATAACAGGCAGCGCTCGCTACCTGTCTGGCAAGCCTCCTGTCCTGTATCGACTGGAGAACCCACGGAAGTACAACAGCATGCATGGCTTTTAAGACACGCAAGAGATTTAAACTTAAAAATCAGTGTATACGCAGAAGCATGACATTAAATTAACTGCCTGTTAGTCACAACTAGAAGATTGCAACCCTATTGCTTATTTACATTGCATGTTGCTCTGCTTTGCTATAAAAAAAAAAAGTTGTATGATAAAACATTGAATTTTGAAATGTTAAAGCTTATTGTTTCTCTAATTATGTCAAATGGTTGGTTTTTAGTTTCCTTGTAGCAGATTTTTGAATACTTGAAGCATGTGGGTTTTCAATTATACCATCAGGGAAAAAAATAGGAATCAGAGTGAGAGAAAGCACTGTGTATAATAATAGGTTTCAGATTTTGTAAATACAGGCTTGAGGGAGGGTTCTTCTTCATCTTAAATTGATTGGATGCTTAGATTAGTTAATATAAATTTAAGTTTTAAAAATTATTATTAATTAACTCTTCTCTTTGTCTCTGCATTTACCTCCCCAGATGTTCCAGCCTATCATTTTACTTATTCTCATTCTTGTATTATTTTCATCACTTTCTTACACAACAATATTTAAACTTGTCTTCCTTTTTACACTATTTTTTGTACTGTAAATCTTTCATCATTTACCATTCATTGTAGTATTTTCAGTTTGTTTATTTTGTTCACCCTCCAAGATAAGAAGTAAAAGAAGTATAATTTCTGTAATAATCAATGCTATAAAAACACTGAAGACTGCTTATTTTTTAAAAAGACCCATCTTACCACTACCAAATTCAATAAGAAGCCCAAGCATTAAAATATTTCAGGTAAGCAAGTAATTGTGACTTTTTATATAAATCTTTTTAATTTTTGCTTCTTTCTTTTACATCTTAATCTGCACTCTTCTTGATAAATAATTATGACTGTAAAAATTGACTAAATCTTTCAATTATTTCTCAGTAGTTGACTATTATGATAACTGAAAAGCTGGACATTCACAAGATGATCACATTTCAAAATATAGATAGATGGACTTATAAAGGATCTTTGCTAGGTTGCATCAGACTAACAAGATAGTTTTGATATCCAGTAAATGTTAGCAAAAATTATGGTGAATGAATTAAATGTGACCATCATGGAGAGTAAGCAATTCGTTGTGATGCTTGCTGTTGGTATTCTGTGTAAAAAGATGTGTTTGGGAGCAAAGAGTGGATTAGGCCTTAGTTCATTGAGAAAGTGATTATATCTCTCCTACTGCATTTGACCAGCTCTAAGCAAAACAGCCATTTCTGCATTTACCTAATATACTTGGACATTTGTTGCTGATAAAATTTGTTGCCTGGAGTTCTGTCCTCTCTAATAGATTATCACACAGAACTGCTTCCAGAGTAGGGAAAAAATAGTCATTCTCTAGAATTTCATTAAGTCACAGTCCAAGGCCAGTGGCATCATTCCACTGTTGGAATCTATTTATATCTAGAGTTGCTCTCTAGATATAAACTCACTTTGGTGAACCTGAGCATCTCCTTTTCTCCTCATCCCTAAAGTGGCGTGGATAGGTTCCATGTACCCAAAATGTCCTGTTCTATCCATCTTGTTGACAATTTACCCAGTGTAAAACTGGAATGCACCACTGCCATCAAGATTCAGAAATACCAACACTCATGGAAGTCATGCACTCAGAAATGCTTTGCAGGTTGGCTGGTGGATATGAAAATCTGTGGTAAAGTGAGGTATCTTGCACCTCAGCATCAAGAACAGTATGTGGAAAATCTTTGCTCTACTACGAAAGTTGGTTCTGGAGACAATCTCTTGAACCCTCATCCCCCAGTACCTCCATTTCCCTTTGAGTAGTAATTTTTTAAAAAAGAAAAGATAACCCTTCACAATTGTTGAGAATTCAGTTTAAAATAACTGTTCTTAGTCTCCATGTTGTTATTTACATTTTTGGGGGGGGGGGGTTGGCTTTTGTTTTGTTTTGTTTTAGAGGGAGGAGAGACCAGGAGTGAGGAGTTGTTAGCCAACAGTTGGAATCTGTCACTATCTACTTGGCTTTTCGTCTTAGAGATTCAAAAGGCTAGGTAGCACTTTATGACAAAAAGAAATGAAATCATCTAAGTGCTGTATTTAATCAATTATTCCCCTTTTTACTTTTTTTAAAAAAATTATCTCAGGGAGAGCAACCACTTTAAAAATCAAAGTCTATCTGTTAGATCCTTGATTAAGCCTCCAGACCGCCATCTTAGGGGACCATTTTGGTAACAGAACTGAAAGGCAATGTTTGATGGCCAAAGTTTATCTGAAACGTTTATTGCCATTGAAGCTACGTACACCCACCTAAGCAATGTTTCTCAACTACCTGTGGAACATTTGGTGGTTTATGGAGGTGTTGTAGGTGGCCAAATGACTGGGAAGCCCTAATGGCAGTAAGAGGAAAGGAGTCAAAATCTCAAATAATTGTCCCACCAAAATGGTTAATATTGTCCCTCTGGTGAGGCATGGGATGCAGTGCACCTGTTCACTTCCGAAGTATCATGGATATTCACCACCCTGTGTGGCTCTAAGAAACAGGCTTCAGAGTTGTTAACTTTCTTTATCATGAAAGAATCAAAAACTCAATATCTAGATCAGTGGTTTTCAATCCTAGCTGCACACTGGAATTCCTGAGATGTTTCTAGAATTGAGCCCCTACCTCACCAAGTGAATTTTTGAATCCAGGCATTTGTATTTTCTTAAATTCCCAAGAACCATTTCTTTAGATGTTTGAGTTTGTCTAAAGTATGTATACGCAGCCTGTCCCAAGGCTGCAGCAAGCTACATGAGGCCAGCGGTATAGAAAACTGAGGCACCTAGGTTTCAGTAGACCTTAAAGTTTCCACCATTCAGTGGATGTCCACAGCCTCCCTAGAGCATTTCCATCTTTGTTATTCGGCCTTTGCCTCTAATGACAAAGCAGTTCTAATTCCACAGTGGTGCAGTGTTAGAAGACTCTCCTTTCATTAATACTGGTTCTCGAAACCAATAAAAGCAGAGACGACAAATAGGAATGATACATGACAGAAAGGAGGACCAAGATGAAAAGTGCGTGGGTGCAGGGTCATGCACACAGCTGCAGGTGTAGGCACATGCACACCCTCAGCTGGAGCCTCAAGATGACCACACACACACACACACACACACACACCCTGGCAATCCACACTTTGTGGATGTGTATACAGTTATTGATGCCACAACGCTTTCCATGTGGTGTGCCACAAATCCTCTGGGAATGATGGGTGCCGGCTGACTCTGCTGTCCAAACCAAGATGAGAAGGCATATACAAGAGGTGTGAGAATGCAGCAGAAATACAGAGCATGGATCCCTGTGTATTTAACAAACATTGTAACGTGGTGGCTGTTAGGTGCAGACAAAATGAATTTCAGTGTTTACTCTTTTTAGCACGTTCAGTTGGTTGATTGACCCAGACGGACATGTAAACAGCTAACTCTAACAGATACTCTTACTGGAGTGTAAAAACAAACAAAAAGGCTCGTGGTTGCAATTTATTTTTATTGGGCACCTGATAGCATGTTGGATTTCCCTAAGAAAATGATAAAATCCCACGACATTCTTGCATGGAATGATACCATAAATAAATAAATAAATAAATAAATAAATAAATAAGTACAGGGGTGCTGTTTATACCTCAACAGTATCCTGTGGCCTGAATAAGAAAGGAGAGGCTAACCAAGGAAGGTCTGGGCTGATCAAAACACCGGTCCCCTCCTTAGATCTCTTGTTAGGAATTAAAGTCATCCTGCCGACAGGGTTATTAATCTTACCTATGAACTTCTAAGGCATTGGTTTTAGAGAAGAATTCATAAGAATCTTGAACTTCATCCAGGCACTCCATATATGGAAACCCAGGAAGAAATTGAGGAGGGGAAACAGGACTGACTTGTCTACTGCTCCCAGATTCTGGGGAATTGGGGTCACTCTGACAGCTTCTCTGAAGTTAATGAGGCAACTTCACCATATAGTTGAATTCCAGGGAGACTCTTTCCAACTCTGCTCTACCCACTGCAGAGCCCACTTTCCGGTTTGTACCCACATGTAAGCACACACCTCTTCCACACTGCTGTGTACAGTGAGACATGCATCCAGAATCAGGGAGTTCAGACCTGCCTCTATCTCATGGGACTGCTGGGGGCCAGTATTTGGGAGGTGGTCTGAGCAAACTGCCAGGAAACACAAAGCAACCTTGCCCCTTGCTGCCTTCTCCCTGGAACGTCAGGCTGTTCTATGGGTACCCACAGTCTGTGGTACATCTCTCCCTTACATCACAGACTATAGATGTGGGAACAGAAGTTAACAAAGATGGTACTCAAGACCTCGGAAAGAGCGTCCCCTGTATCTTCTTCCCCTCCCCTTTGATCCTGTTACTTGCTTTATCTTTGTTGTACAAAGCTATTTCTAAAAGAGAAACACCCAGGTTTCTTTGTCCATTCAGAGAACAAAGTCCCCCAATTATTGAGACAAGGAATTTTCTCCTATTTGTACTTTTGAAGCTGTGCTATTTAAACATGACACTGAAGCTTTGCGCAGTGGCAATATTGTAGCCAATGAGGTTTATCCGAGGTGTGATTATTGCTAATTGAAAACTAAACATGACACTGAAGAGAAATTAAAAAAAAAACCAAACCTTATTGTAGAAAATTCCCTTGCATGCACATTCTTGGGTGTAGGGAGTGTCTTTGGTAATTTGGCCTGGATTTAAGAAAAAAAATTTAGTTGGCTATTTTTGAGCATAACTGACTCAAACTCATAAAACAAAGGAAAATTCAGTGCTGAGCCTGGAATGTGTATTGGCCTGCATTCTGCAACCTTCATTTCAATCCGTGTGGTAAGAGTTGCGACATGGTTATTTAATCAGCTGCCAGTGAAGTTTGATATGTCAGTTTGGTAGCGAAGCCCTAACTCCAAATATTCATGCACTGCTCGTAGCTGTATTCCTGTAGAGCTCCAGCCCACTTTCATCTGCTTGTCATGCTTTGGGTCAGATGCTCTAACCGAAGGTAAGGATTGAAGTGAAAGTGGCGGAGGATGATATCAGAAAGTGAGAAAAGCTGTCCTATGTTGATTTCTGATGATATCAGAAAGTGAGAAAAGCTGTCCTATGTTGATTTTCTGTAGTCTCTGCTGAGTGTTTGAGTTGAGCTGCTTATGTATCTATGTTAACAAACAAGACTCGCTGCATGATTATCAAAGCCTAGCAAATAACATTTGTCCCTTTCTGAGGTAGTCCAACATAATGTACTGTGAAAGCACTTCAGCTCTTTAAATTCATGTTGAAAGTACCTTCTTAACCTATGCCTTTGAAAATTAAGAGGGTGTGAGGGGCAGAGAGAAGCTCATCAGTTTGTCCACTGGCCTCAAAGGCTCAAATGGCTTAGTAATGGAAGAGAATTTAAGAGGTTTTTTTTTTTTTAAATACCTTATAGAGTCTGTTATTTCTTAAAGTCAGAAAACTCAGTTTAGCATCTAGTTTATAATTTCCTTTCTTCTTTTTCATGAATATGTGCAGCTTTTGCACAATCCATGTCATTTCCTCTGTATCATGAATTCCTGGACAGATAAAACAGAGCTCGACTTTTTAAATAGAACAAGCTATGTGTCAGCCTAAATCAGTCACTTAGAACTTCAGAGGTGGAATGTAACATAACAAGTCAGCAGAATTAGTTTATTCTGGATTTTAGGTGACTGTTAGGAATCTGAGCTCCTTTACCTGGAAGGAAAAAAAATGCATACCTGCTGAGGGACCAAAGCCACTGCATGGGGAGGTCTTAGCCTTAATCTAACTGCTCAGACTCCAGATAGTGAAAATACCCGCTGTGAAGTAGCCAAAGGAAGTAGATGACGGAAAGTTAGGATTCCCCAGCCTTGTACATCACGAGCTCTTTGTTCGAAGTCCTGATATTTGTAGAAAGTAGATGGATTCAGAAAAGCAAGGTAAACTCAAAATAGATAAGAAAGAATGAAGTCGCGGGACTCTTCCTGTCCAAAATATTTCAATGGAACAGCATCAACAAAAGAATATGGTGTGAGGGCCGAGGACAGCCATTGGGGTACTGTGTTCTCGTCTC